CGGGAACTGGCGTCTCTGCCGGCAAATACTTCTTTTCGGTGCAAATAAATGCACCGTGGCTTCCTCCACAAGCCCGCCCTCGGGCCAAAAGCACAGTGCAGAGGTGAGCGTTCCGCAAACCTCCTCACCCTCCGTGCAACCTTCGGGCGTCTGGAAAGCCCCGCAAAGGCGACGCCCATTCTTCAAAAAAGCCGTCAGCACGCGGCCTCTGATGGCATCCGGCATGGACACCGTCTGGCGCGAGGTGCTTCCTCGAATTTTATTGGCCGCTGCTTTCGCGACCCTGGCCCTGGAGAACTGGAGGTGGTTGGCTGGGCAGCATACCGCGTCTCCTTGTCCTTCGCAATGGCCAAGGCAAGCGATTCTTTGGCCACCTCACGGAAACCATCCAAGTCGGCAGGAAGCACCTCCTCCCAGAAGCTGTGACCCTCACAGCTGTGGGCCACTGAAGTGGTCAGGATCTTATTGCGAAGCGACTGGGCATAGCGAGCGGACGAGTAGTGCAATGCCATTCCCGCCTCAGCCGGCTCCTTGGACTTGTCCTGCCAATCGTCGAGGGAACAAAGGTCAGAGGACGGCAGATTCAGAATGTGGCCCACTGTAGGCAGCATGCGCCTCCATGAGTAGGTGGTCAACTGCTCAGTATTGTCCAGGAACTCGGCAAAGATGGACTGGCAGAGGTGCTGCACCTCAGCAATGTTCCAAGGCGTCCCACGCCTGTCGAAGCAGATCCCTGCACTCTTCTGGGCCACTGGAGAGAGGGCTTTCCAGGCTTTGAGCCAATCAACCGTCCAGTTGAAGCCGGAGGCAAACTCAGCAGGAGCACACCAATCGAATCCACCCCGGGCGTGACGCTGCTTGCCTTTACGACAATGGCCATGGAACACCAGTGGACTGATTCGACGAACAGTGGATCGACGGAGATGCTGGTACCGCCAGCAACCAGTAGCCACAAGCCATGAGCCCAAGAGACATGTCCATCGCGGGCCCCCCCCACGGCACATGCTCTCAATGCGCTCCTCCAACAACTGCAGCATGCCGGGCTCCACCACAAGGGCTTGGCTCTTCGTCGAGGTGGCCTTCTTCTTCAACTCGGGGGAGATACGAAGACGGCCGACTTCCCAAGGAGCTCCTGAATGCTTGCACAACCAGCGAAGCGCATTGAGCGCGGGTAGGGGCCATCGTCCCCTGATGCAGGAAGTTGTCCATGTCCACAAAGTCCGGAGGAAACGACCTCCCACGGTGGAGCAAGAAGGCGTGGAGCTCCCCGTAGGTACGGAGGGCGTTCTGAATCGTCACCGACTCGGACTCCGCCACCTTGGTTTGGGCCAAACGAAGAACGGATGCCTGCCAATCCCGCTTCAGGGCCTCAGTCAACAGGCCAACTGGCTTCAATGCACCGACCGTCAGGAACACCTTCTGCAGGGCCAAAACCTGGCGCTGTATGGACTCAGGCTGGTCCTGGACACGTTCATGAAGGCGTACCCCCGCCTCAAGTGGAACTTCCTTCCTCTTGCGAGCCAGCGGAGGACGTGTATCCGGCAACAGAGGTCCCCCCTCGATCAAACGAGCAGCTGCAGGAAGAAGTTCCTCCTGCTGGGCAACACGGACTGCCAGCCAGCTTCTTCCCAGGTAGAGAAGGCAAATGCAAAGTCCTCGTCCTTCTCATAGCCACGCTCACGGCGCCATGTAATGGCTCGGGCCCCTGCCACGCGGGCGAGACTATCTTCGGCCCGCCAACCAGAGGACGAGGCCGGCTCATCCGGCGGAGCGTCCACAGCTCCAGCGACTTGCGCACGGTACACCATGGCTTGCGCACCCGCGCTGAACTACCCACTATATCGTCATCAGACGACGAAAGTTCGCGGCAAACCGGACAGATTTGGAGCACTGGGAAGCAGGCGGAACACACTCCTTTGATACAACCAAGGCACTGCCGATAAGTGGGATCGCCACAGCCGCAACACGCTGGAGGAAACTCGGACTCTCCGTTGATTGAGGACCCCAACCATCCACGAAGGGCTCGATGGGCACGAATCTTCGGGTGAAGAGCGTCCAAATGGCGCGGCAAGTGCTCAATATCTGGCAGCGGGGCACGAAAGGGGTTGGACCACAACCCGTGCGGTGATCCCAGATCCAGCGCCGCATGTAGTAGAGAACTTCAGATTGAAAGGTTTGCAGGGGCAAGAGGTCAAAATCCCCGGGAACCTTCTGCTGGAACTCCCACAGGTATGAGGGCACAAAATTCTCTGCAGAATACGGGGTACGGTAGGGCTGCAACAAGAGGAGGTCCATTGCAGCCGCCAACCGAGCATGCCTATCCCAGGCCTGCTGAGGAGTGAACCCTGGTGGCGCGATCGTCCCGCGCTGGTTCCAAATCCCGACCCACAGGAACACATAGCCCCCTCGCCCCTGATCGCACCGTGGGCATGCATTCTTAGGACAGACTGAGATCCGCATAGGGGGAAAACCGACTGGCCCGTCCCCCGGGCGTGAAGACGGAGGCATGTGTTCGAATAGAACCACCGAGCTCCAAAGCCGCAGCGCGCCTGCCCGGTCCCCCCGGGCCAAAAGGGCATCAACCTGGCGACGGAACTCGATGAACGCGGCGGACGAAAGCACCTCAGCAGCCGTGAACATGGCGACATGCACACCGACGATCGGCTGTGAAGCCATCCACAGCACACACAGCAAAACTTAAGCAGAACAGAAACTCCACTGTCCCACTTTTGGCTTGAGCCAAAATGGACAGTGTACCAAATGTAATGAAGACTGTGCACCCAAACCTGCCCAAAGCTCGACACAGTTTTATATAACGTATAGTATGCTACACACGTGATATTCCGATGTAAAATTCCACCGAGAAAAATGCCGACATTGAAAAAAAACAAGATGGAGCCCACGAACCCGAATGCTACAAATGACACTCTTGTAGGACACTCTTGTGGGACACTCTTGTGGGTCACTCTTGTCGGAAAATCTTGTGGGACACTCTTGCGGGACACTCTTGTGGGACACTCTTGTGCGACAGTCTTCTGGGACACTCTTGTGGGACACTCTTGTGGGACACTCTAGTAGGACACTCTTGTGGGGCACTCTTACGGGACACTCTTATGGGACACTCTTGTGGGACACTCATGCGGGACACTCTTGTAGGACACTCTTGTGGGACACTCTTGTAGGACACTTGTGGGACACTCTTGTGGGACACTCTTGTGGGACACTCTTGTCGCACACTCTTGTAGGACACTCTTGTGGTCTTGTCGGACACTCTGTGAGACACTCTTGTAGGACACTCTTGTAGGACACTCTTGTGGGTCACTCTTACAGAACACTCTTGTAGGACCCTCTCTCAGGACACTCTAAAAGGACACTCTTGTAGGAAACTCTTGTAGGACACTCTTCTGGGACACTCGTGTGGGACACTCTTGTGGGACACTCTTATAGGACACTCTTGTGGGACACTCTTGTGGGGCACTCTTGTAGGACACTCTTGTAGGAAACTCTTGTGGGACACTCTAAAAGGACACTCTTGTAGGAAACTCTTGTAGGACACTCTTGTGGGACACTCTTGTGGGACACTCTTGTGGGACACTCTTGTAGGAAACTCTTGTGGGACACTCTTGTGGGACACTCTTATAGAACACTCTCGCGGGACACTCTTAAGGGACACTCTTGTGAGACACTCTTGTGGGACACTGTTGCGGGACACTCTTGTGGGACACTCTTGTGGGACACTCTT